GGAGACGTCTTCAATGAGACTAATCAAAATAAGAAGAACCACAACATTTGCGGGTTGGCACACAAGAGACTAGGATGTAGGGAGTGGTTAACATGGTATCATATATAAATAGGAAAGACACTGTGGAGACTAAAGCTAATTGGCTAAGAAATGGTCGTGTTTGATAATAAAAGTGATCCTTGAATCACTACTATTGTTAGCCAACTAGCTCTAGCTTCCACGGTTTCTAACCTCCTTCTATATATGATACCAAGTCTATGACTTCCTATGCCCTAGTCTCTTGTGTGCCAACCCACAAACGTTGTCATTCAGCATTGAACCAAGTCAAAGCAAGCATAACCACAACATTTGTGGGTTGGCACACGCGAAACTAGGGTATGGGAAGCCATAGACTTGGTATTAGAGATAGAAACAGTATATACGCGGCGGCGATAGGAGCTGGTGGGCTGACAGTAGTTTTTATAAGAGACGTGGTCCATGTGGCAAAGGCCTGACCATGAAACCTACTCAGAGGCTTAAGCCTCAAATTAGTCACCTAGACGCAGGGTAGGGCGAATAACGCCTTAAGTTGGCCCAGATGGGGTGGCAGGGTTTGAGTGAATCAGAGAGAGGGCAGACGGATCTTACGGGGCAAGATAGAGACTGGGGTAAGACCTAGGGAAGGAGGATTGCGTAACGATATAACAGACTCCGATCAACATTCCCAGCACAAGGATGAAGGGCGCTGAGAAAGCCAGCGTAGAGTGCGGAGAGTTCTCATGAAAGCCACTAAAAATGGGAACCGACCACAGTTTAATAAGCAAGTAAAATATTGTGACAGTGAAGGCGTGATAGGAGGATATAGGAAATGTGATAGGCCAGGGCAGAACGGGAGATATCATAACTGTTTAGCACACGTTTGGTCAATGGATCGGCTAAGTGACTAATTCGAGGCTTGAGCCTCTGAGTAGGTTTCATGGTCAGGCCTTTGCCACATGGACCACGTCTCTTATAAAAATGACTGTCAGCCCACTAGCTTCCATCGCCGCCGCGTCTATCCTGCTTCTATGTCTAATACCAAGTCTATGACTTCTCTTGTGTGCCAACCCACAAATGTTGTGGTTATGCTTGTTTTGACACGGTTCAATGTTATGTATCAACCAAAAAACGTTGTGGTTTAACAACGAACCGTGTCTAAACAAGCATAACCACAATATTTGTGGGTTGGCACACGCGAGACTAGGGTATGGGAAGCCATAGACTTGGTATTAGAGATAGAAACAGGAT